CAAAGGGTGAAAGTCTGCGGGAGGTAGCGGCACACGCTCAATGTGAACGTCTCTATGAAACTGACGATTTTATAGAGAACACATTTGAACAGGTGGTTCTCAACTGAAAACCAACAGAGCAAGTGCTAATTTAAAAAGATCGCTGCAAATTAGATGGCAAATTCTGTGGTTACAAGCGTAGAGCATTTTATTTTACGTCTACATACAATACAGTACGATGGTCTCTATTATGAGTCCCGGGCGAACTCGTCCGCGTCTCAAGCATCCCGAAGCTGCCGTTCGCGATTTTTGTTGTTGTGCGACTGGTTGCGACTGTGAGAAGGAATGGAATCTCAGAGTCATAGTGCTCTCCTAAACCCTTTAGCCGAGATGTAGAAAGATGAGAAGAATCATAGAAGAAGTAGAAAGCATGAAGCCATCTAGAGGGTTAGGCATACGAGGGGATTACTGACAATTTCCCTTATCTAATTGCCGCATTTTTCGAAGAACGCTGTTCAATGGAGAGCGGAGGCAGGGTAATAGCAAGTGGCGCACTATCACACACATGTTACGGGTTCGAATCCTGGATTGATATCTGGGTAGGCTTATAAAGCCTTCCAGCCTCCCTTGGTCGGTTAATAAGTACCAGAGTTTTCTGGGAAGATAAAAGCACTGACTTGTACATCGGCTAGCCATCGCAAGTCACTGTATCGGTCACATGCGCATTCAATACGCCACTACGATTCTGAAAGGAAGTTGAATGCGGAGCGCATTCTTCAGGCGGGATTGACTAACGTCCAAAGACTTTATTCTTTAACGCCTTTCCACTAACGGGGTGCACCCTTACGATTTACATCTAATCTTTTCACTCGATTCCAATTTTATAACCCTTGACAAACCACTGAATATTATTTTTTACATGGCATGGTCGTCGGGCTAGAAGAGCTTTCGACAGATCAAAAAGCGGCAAAAGAAATGGCATAATTCACACTAAGCGTCTTCATACCTGCAGTGTTGAAGATTCTTTCAACGCTGATCGATTCTTTTTGCGTTTGCGAACTTTTGTTCGATTGAGATCACTTCGCACAACTGCACGAGGTGATCTTAAAAGCTAAGTTCACGACAAAAATGGTCTCTCCTCCTGGATGAAACCTTGGCCAGCAAGGATTCACGTGGGACATGGTTGGGTCGAAGAACGACCTCGACAATGCTTATAAGGTTTCCAAAACCGGTTTGGCCGATTACCCGAAAGTGCACACCCAAAAGTGGCCGTGCTACGACGGCCTTGTTAATGCCGTACCATCCTACTTACTATAAAGCGCTTAGTCTGTCTGTCTGTCCGTCTGTCTGTCTGTCTGTCTGTCTGTCTGTCTGTCTGTCTGTCTGTCTGTCTGTCTGTCT